ATATTTGGCGGTTGCAACGAAGCTCGATTGCCTCAAGTCCTTCCTTTACTTGGGATTAAATTGCCCAGATGTCACTGCTACATAGGAGACTTCAACTAACTTGCTAGTCCAGCGCCATTTTATATATTTTTCTCGTGTTATTTAGCGAACGCTTCACACATTTCCCTGCTTCTGAAGATCATCTTCCAGTCTTTCTGTACGCCCTCGTATTTCTGTCTCCGATTTTCCGGAAACAGGTGAATTTCCGCTTCTCTTGCATTTTAAGATTTCCGATGTGTAACTCTTCCCTTGGGCTCGTCCTTTTTTGCCGCCAAAATGATTTCTGTTTTTTACGATTAATGTATAGTTCTATGCTGTTTTCATTAAGCGCTTTTTTTTATTATTTTGCTGTCGCCATTTAAAAGGTTCTCTATTCGATTACGAGTAATTTGTTCCTCAACACAGAGTCAAAGAGCAAAATAAAACCTTCTATTGTGCATTTTTTAAGTAATTTTACTTAACTCAGCAAAACACTCATATTTATACGAATATATATATATATATATATATATATATATATATATATATATATATATGCACACACACTGACACACTATATCTTCCTACATCTCACATTCATATATATATATATATATATATATATATACACACACATATATATATATATATATATATATATATATATATATATATATGAAAAAAAAGAGAGAGAGATGTAGGGAGATATAAAGAAAAGAAAATTGGAGAGAGGAAACTTAGGTGTGTGGGTGGGGAGAGAGAAATGTAGATACAATTTTAAGTGCTTATATATATAATTTTACGCAACTCATCCAGATATTCATGTTTATACAGCAATCCAAAGACAATCACAGACATTCTGTCTCGCTTTCCCTCTCTCTTGCTAGCACATATATACACACACAGACAGACAAAAAGAGAGACAGATAGACAAACAGACAGATAGATAGATAGATAGATAGATAAATAGATAGATAGATAGATAGATAGATAGATATGTATGTATGTATGTATGTGTTTGTGTATTTTAATCATTTCACCCGAAACAAGGCGATAAAGCGACTAAGACGCGTAGGGGTTAGCGGGTATGAAAGAATCTGTGAAAAATCTTTGCATTTAAATGTTTCAATGTCAAATTTGACTGCCAAGCCATAAGCCGTAGAGAGTTCCACAAGCGGGAAGAGTTGAATTCTTATGTGTTATTCGTCCTCTATGGCAGTGAATGTTAGACAATCTCCCCACGGATGACGAGCAAAATGGAGGAAACACAAATAAGGTTCTACAAAAGGGATACTGAAAATTCCAAGTTTTAAATTCAATGAAGTCTTAAAGAATATGGCAGAACTTCTACTCAGAATCGGGAAAAAACCGCTTAAATATAGGAAGGGAAACTTGAAAAACCTAAACCTCATCGGACATATTGAACGCAGTAGAGATAAGGGAGACACTAACCTGACGGGTTGGGAATGGCTGGCGGAACGCGGGGCGGACGGGAGCCTTAGCAGTGGGAGAAAAACTACGAAAGGTCACAAGGGATAGAAAGTTGTGAAGAGATATGACTGCATATGTCCTTACTGAACGCGACTCATAGGAGAAGAAGCCATCAATTTCTGTGTCACATTCGCCATCGTCTGTTATTAATATCACGACCACCTGATCAGATCCCACCAAATATCTGGATTCAAGGCCAAAGAATTACTTATGCGTTGCGTGTCGTAGGTAAATAATTCTGGTGGAGTCCATCCTTCCCCAGGCGAAACCACAGCCGATGCCCTTCAACCTGAAGACTCGATATTGTCACAGACAGGTGGCCATTGATTCCATTAGGAGAACCCTCCACCCTGGTCGTTAATTCCTGTCTAATGAGACCCCACCTTCAATCACCGCAATGGCTATATAATGATTATAATGTCTAGTCTATTCCCGCTCTGATTCGTATGCTATTTCACAGTCATTCCTTTTAGTACTGATGTGTGTCTATCCACTCTCTTCACTAGAAATACATGATGCGGAAACCGACTTAGTCGCAAATGGTCTGACCATGTGACCGGTATTACTAGGTTTACGAGAGGGTATTGATATTATTATAATATGCCGAACCTGTAACGGTTATTATATTGTATACTTAAGTTACTGTACTGATTTATATTTGACGTCCTTAATATATAGCAAACACCTATATAGTTAAACCTTGTCTGTCAAAATTCAGACAATGATAACTACATGCCTCAGCCAGATGAACAAATTTTAGGGGTAGCAAAATGCTTACTAGAGTTCTGTATTGTTACCAGTATTCAGCTCTATATGAGCCAATATGGTTGCACATAGATTTACGCTGTAAATAGCTCGAAAAAATAGGTTAATGCAAATTCAAATGAACGCATGCGCCGAGGAGCACGCTTGTACGGAAATTTGATCCTGTTTACGTGCAGTTATGGAAACTAATGCTTCTACGTCTGCCACTAATGAGGCCATATTCAGTGAATTGATTCTCCTTACTGCAAAAATTGATCAATCGCAATTATAAAAGCGGCGACGAGTTTCAAAATATTTAATAGAGAGCATTATTTCTCTCTCCCCCTCTCTCTCTCTCCCTCTCTCTTACTAGCTTTTTTCTCTCTAGCGCGCATTCTCTCTTTGTACATTAGTCAGTCGTTCTCTGTCTGTATGCCTCTTTCTCACTTTCTCTTTATCCTTGTCTGTCAGCCTATTCCTATCTATCTATTGATCGATCAGTCTTTCTATCTCTCTCTCTCTTTCTTTATCTCTCTCTCTTTCTCTCTCTCTCTCTCTCTCTATATATATATATATATATATATATATATATAGGCAGCATATCTTCATTCAATCATGTTTGGTCGAATAATCTACACATATTATGTCTATTTATTTTCTATTTTAAAACTCTCAAATTCACTGATCATTTCTTTAATGTTGTTACAGAACTGATTAAGAAAGACGTCGTAGTTTTGTTAAAGTTTTTGTTTTATTTTCCCAAGTAGCTTCAATCTCATCCAAAATCATCTTCAGGAATGAATTAATATTTTAATATACCCAAACTGAAATTAAAAAAAAATCTTTTATAAGTTGACTATCCCAATACAATACTTTTATAGACATTTAAAACATTGTCACTATACATATAATTAATTTTATTTAGTTTTGGTTGTATTTTTTTATATAGAGCGGTTCAAGAATTTAAAGATTTTTTTTTTTGACGTACAGTGACCATTAATAATCAAGTATAACTAATAAAACAGTATTTAATTACCACCGTAAATATATACTTAACAAGAACAATGAAGTAAAAACAAGCAACGATAACGATATCAATGAATATCTTGTCACTAGCGCAGCTCGGTTTAACCTCCGGTAAATCCTAAATCAAAACCCAAATCATCAACGCACAATAATCCAAACTAATTCAAGTGGATAGTTTCACTCAAAAATAACTCAATAGTCACTCCAGTCAGTAACCTGACACCGCTATTTATACATCTAGCGGAAAACATATATTCATAAATCCAGAGTGTTACTCTCGAACGTCGCTGTTGTAGTTACTCATTTTCTTCTTATATGAAAGTTTTTATATTTTGATGGCGGTGTATACTATTTAGCTGAACTTAATAAATGAAACTACCTCCCTATTTGTATACTTGGACAGAATCCTGTTTTTTTAAACATGTTTCCTTGAATATGACAGAGAATGAAAATTTACTTATTTAGTTTCAACAGCATTCTTACATTTTTTTCCTGTGGTGGAAATAAGAGAGTGCAAAAATTGTCCGTTTGTCCAATATTTCAAGCGCTTTCGGCCACTTCTTTAGCCATTTTCAAGTGGGTTTGTTGTCGAGTGTTCTTAATATATACAAACATACATAAATTATTAATGAATTCGTCTATCTTAATGTTTACTCGTTATTACACTTGTTTTCTTTTTTTCTGTTTGTATTTAACAATCTAGAGTCTGTCTGCCTAGACAAGACTATAATTTATTTTATAACACTTATTGAATAAAGACAATGGCACTTCTTCTTTATCCTCTTCTTCTTCTTCTTCTTCTTCTTCTTCTTCTTCTTAATAATAATAATAATAATAATAATAATAATATTAATGAAAAATTTATTTAGTGGTTACACGGCTTGGTAATAATCCGTCTACAGTTAAACATTATAATTCAGATTTCTCTTCCATTAATATAAATTTATTAATATTACATAATAAATAGTATATATATATATATATATATATATATATATATATATATATATATATATATATATATTTACAAGTCTCGTTGAAGATGACGAACAAGATGTTGCGATAAAGAATTTTATACATTTTTTTTTTGCATGTGCGATTGTTAAAAATAATGGAAGCGATACTAATAAAGGGACATGCCATCTGTCAAGGATATCAGCTACGAACACGGCTGAAACCTTCTGACCGTGTTCGAAAATTTAAAAACAATTCCATCCCCATATATATATACATAAAAATGCGGTTGATTTGCAGTAAAAGCGACAAAAGCTCCCCGGTATTGAGAAAGTACCATTCTGATATGAAGACCGAATACAAAAACGGATAACAACAACTCAAAAAAGCCCTTGCAGAATTTGAAGAAATGGGCTCAAACGGTGAACGATTTACAAAGATTGAAATGATATGAGAGAGAAAAAAAAAAGACGATTCAGACGAAGCTATTCAAGTTTATGAAAGTCGTATCGCCTTCCGATATTAGACATTAAAAGAATAAAGACAATGGGACCGAGAGAGGAATAAAACAATAAGTAATGGCAGAGAGAAAAAAGACAGCCACAGAAAAGGAGAGATGAAAAGAGTGGGGGAAAGATGAAGAAGAGTTAAATAAAAAAAATATTATTATTATTATTATTATTATTATTATAGAATCATGACATAGTATCATAACACACCATACTATATGTAATTTAACATTGTGCGACTTACGACTAATCCGTCTTATGACGGGCTTGTCGGAACCAAACGACGTTGTAAGCCGACGAATATCTATCTATCTAAAACAAAGGATGTCTGTGTGTCTGTCTGTCTGTGTGATACATTTTCGTTTGAGATCCATCCAACCGATTTTGACCAAACTTGGCAAATACAATGTAAGGTATAGGGTTCTTAGCGGTTAAAATCGATAATTTTTAAACAATCGATAATATATAAAATTCAACATTTTCCTCCGATTTATTTCAAACTCGGTATGTAGGTTACTTACATCATGACGACCTCAATGATATCTTTTTTTTTTATTTATACGCCAGTGCGTTTAGCGAAAAATCAAAAATCAATTTCAACACAAATCTCCATCAGTTTTGAAACAATCGAATATAAACTTTACTCAATTGTAGCCACCAATAACTTGATTGTTTAACAGTCATTTAACTTGATCACTGAGTTCACCCATATAGTGAAAACTCGCGTAAATAGCGAAAAATGGCGATTTTTACTGTTTTTTTTTCTTATTTTTCAACCAATTTTCATCAAACAACTGCTTTATAAATATAACCACATTTACATCCCTGGTAGGACACTGACAAATTGAATTTCAAAAACTCTAAAATAATTGTTATCTGAAGTGGGTTGCCTGTTTTACATTCTTCATGTCCTTGGCTAACTTCGATTGAATAAATACTGGATACTTCTGTTATATCAGTAACTGCATGAATTCAAAATGTTTTTTAATGGAAGTCCTCTGAAGTAAATGAAGAAGATAGACTCTTTTACATCTAAACATGATGCTGTTTTTGCTCCATTCAAATTGAACGCTTTTTCTGATCGACCAGCTGGTTTTATCTAAAAAATATATATATATATATATATATATATATATATATATATATATATATATATATATAATATTAAAAAAAAAAACAAAATTACCTCATGTGCGAATATTCTATTCCAAACACTGCTATGTACCAGCTATCTGCAGCCCAAGACTGTCTGGAAAAGGTGTTTTTTTTATTTAATTAGGCTTAGATAGCGTTGGTGAAAACATATGGGACGACATCAATAGGACGCCCCAGTTTAGAATAGGAGCCTGGGATGTGGACCAGGAGAAGGTCTGGGTTTTGTTTATGTCCAAGGCATTTAGTTGTATGTAAATCTATTTAGGGTTCTGCTGGTGTATTATATTATTAGGTGGTACAGGATTTAACACACACACACACACACATATACACACATATATGTATACATATATATGCGTGCACAAACATATATACTTCTCTCTCTTTCTCTCTCTCTCTATATATATATGCACATATATTTACATATCACACACACACACGCATACATACATATACACATCATCCATTTCCACAATGAAGCTTCGGTTAATAATATTAACAATGCCGAGGTTTTGGTAGTTAGTGAGTAATGTTGAGATTTTTATTCTTATATTAACTTGAACCTACTTCTGTGCATACATTTTAATACTAGATTTCTCCTATTCAACGGGAAAGGTCAGTATAATAATAAGTAGTCACAATATGTCTATATTATTCAATGAAACATGTTACAATGAAGATATGCTACCTCTATAAATATATATATATATATATATGTGTGTGTGTGTGTGTGTGTGTATGTGTGTAAAATATGTATGGGTGTAAAATGTATATGTGTATAAATATATATATATATATATATATATATATATATATATATATACAATTTTTTATATATATTATATATATATATTATATGCGCGGTACTTATTGGAAAGTGCTCAATATCAGTGATAGAGCTAACATATTTAGATGGGTTATTGTGAGTTTGTGACACTAGATATCACGCTATTTCCGATCGTCAGGCAAACGGCTGCGTATATCGGTGTTTTTATGATAGTGGGAGGAAAAATTGTCGTCGGAACTCCACTCATATATACGTAGACATACATTCACGCACGTTCACGCATTGCAGTTCACACAAACGTAAACATATATGAACAGTGTGTATATGCGCATCCATGTATCGTTGCATACATATGTACGCAATTGGTCGCTGCATTAAATGTTGGATTGTGCAGCGAATTTTTTTCCTAAATCGCAGTGTCAACACTTCATCTATTTTGTTCGAAGAATGATGTTTTCTCGCACACACATATATACGTATGCACGCGCGATCACACATCTTTTATCCTCTGTTGTTTTTTTTTGTTATTATAAGATGGGGTCTATGTAAGACTACTTTAGGTGAAATTATTATTTATCATTTTTAATGCTGTTTTGTTATTATTTTAAAGCCAGTTATTTGCTTGTTTTTGGCGATTGCGCTTATGTAAATGGCAGAAACTCCAAATTATAATACTTATTAGTTTTTATGCGATGGTATTAATTTTGCTGGGGGAGAGGATGTATAATTGTGGACTAATGCGGTAATGGTAATTTTGGTGCGGTAGTAATTGTGGACTAGTGCGACAATGGTAATTGTGATGTGATAGTCATGATG